CACACACACACAGACACACACACAGAAACACACACACACACAGAGACACACACACTCACTCACAGACACAAACACAGACACACACACACACTCACTCACAGACACATACACACACACACTCACTCACTCACAGACACACACACACACACAGACACACACACACACACACACAGAGACACACACACACACACACACACACACTTCAGAAACAAATCACACATTAAAACAGCCAAAGCCGAGGCAGCGGGAACGGACCTTCATGCACAGAGACTGATGGCATTGCAGAAGCTGCAGCAGCTCAGACTCATCCGTTTCCAGCAGCATCTCCGTGATCTGATTCGCCAGCGGCCCGACCGCGTCTTGCACCAGCGGGAAGAGACTGAGACCTGCGGGACAAAACTACATCAGACCAGAGTTTGAAAGCATCAACAGGACACAATAACACGGGAGCAAACTTGCCCAGCATCTGCTTCTGGTTGTCTGCTGAGCTCAGAGTCTCCTGCACCTGAACCAGAGCGAGAAACACTTAAGATATATATAATGACTATTACACAGCGCACACAAACACAAAAATCCACAATAATGCACCTGTTGAACAGCCCAGTGCTGCTGCGGCTCGCTTGTGAACTCGTGAACTTCAGGAGTGTAGATGTGCTGCGGTGCACAACGAGGCAGGTTCACTGGGACGACAAAGAAAAACACCAGAAGCTCAGAAGCCGTTTAACATCTTTTATGAAGTATTTTAATTTCACATTTGATTATATAATTGATTTTTAGTATGTTTTATTTTGATTTAGTATTTTTAAATGATTTGATTTCACATTTTTATGATTAAATTAATTTTAGTGTTTTATTTTGACTTTTTATTATTTTGCTCACATTTTATTATTTAATATTAAAAAGTGCTGTATTTTTATATTATATGATGCTGCTAAAAAGAACATTATTTTGTTTCTCCTCTATGCCCCGCCTTTCTGAAACGCGTCGCTATTTACAAAGCTCATCGGTCTGAAAAGTGAGGTGTGCTCTGATTGGCCAGCTATCCAGTGCGTTGTGATTGGCCGAATACCTCAAGCGTGAGACGGAAATGTTACGCCCCTCACCATACTGTGATGCCCTGTCCGGCCGGAGCCACGAGACAAAAACATTTAAAATGGAAAATATAAAATAAAAATGATTCAAAAATATTATTAATATTCTATTTATTATATTAATATTTTCTTTTAGTTTTCCTTTATGTACTAAAATAACTGAAACTGAAATAAAAATAACAAAAAAACTATACAGACATACTTAAAAAAACACAACAAAATTATAACTAAAATTAAAATGGAATATATATATAAAAAAAATGATTCAAAAACATTATTAATTATTATTAATATTCTATTTAATATTAATATTATTAGTTTAACTTGATGTACTAAAATAACTGAACTAAAATAAAAATAACTAAAAACTACATTTAAAAAAAATAACTACTAAAATGTTAACTAAAATGAAAATGGAAAACACAAAAATCTAACTAATAAAAAATATCTTTAAATGACACTGAAATAACACTGCATGGAATGCAAGTAAACAGATTAAATATCTATTTTTTAGTAAGTGTTTTATTTAGATTTTTTATTTGAATTATTTACATGCTATAGAGTTGCACAACTTGGCCAAAAGATCATATATTCGTCATATATTGTGATTTGAACTGCATTTGAAAATCAGATCCTGGAGCTGTTGTAATGGTGGAGTATTGGTGAGACGCTGGAAATAATGTGGCTGTAAAGAAAGCGGTGTGTTTGTGTGTCTCACCGATGTAGTAGGCCAGTCTCTGGTGGTCCAGATCGAAGATGAACCCCCTCCTCCTCCAGGTCTTCACTCGTCCTCCGCGTTTGGTCAGAAAGCCGCCGCACCTCCGGGGAGACAGATTGACCCCCATACAGCCCGACACGTTATGACCCAGAGCCTCCACGTGAGCCCGCAGGTCAAAGTTCACCGTCAGAGACAGCGGGACGCCCTGCTGCGAAACACAAACAACTTCAGTTCAGCTCGACAGACGGAAACATTCAGCGGATTTAAGATTTCAAAGCATCATTAACTTGAGTAATCCACAGCACTCCAGTCCGTCAGTTTCAGTGTCTCACCAGCAGTGAATGGGTGCCGTCAGAACGAGAGCTGATAAAAACATCACAATAATCCACAGCACTCCAGTCCATCAGTTAACATCTGGAGAAGACAAAAGTTGAAACTAATTCAGCATTAAGACGTTTTTAACTAAAATACATAGAGTCCATAATCCATAATAACTACTAAAATAACTGAAACTGAAATAAAAATAACAAAAAAACTATGCAGACATACTTAAAAAAACACAACAAAATTATAACTAAAATTAAAATGGAATATATATATAAAAAAAATGATTCAAAAACATTATTAATTATTATTAATATTCTATTTAATATTAATATTATTAGTTTAACTTGATGTACTAAAATAACTGAACTAAAATAAAAATAACTAAAAACTATATTTAAAAAAAATAACTACTAAAATGTTAACTAAAATGAAAATGGAAAACACAAAAATCTAACTAATAAAAAATATCTTTAAATGACACTGAAATAACACTGCATGGAATGCAAGTAAGCAGATTAAATATCTATTTTTTAGTAAGTGTTTTATTTAGATTTTTTATTTGAATTATAAACGTCTTAATGCTGAATTAGTTTCAGCTTTTGTCTTCTCCAGATGTTAACTGATGGACTGGAGTGCTGTGGATTATTGTGATGTTTTTATCAGCTCTCGTTCTGACGGCACCCATTCACTTGCAGTGAGACACTGATGCAATGCTACATTTCTCCAAACCTGATGAAGAAACAAACTCATCCTGATCTCGGATGACCTGAGGGTGGGGATATTTTTCAGCTAAGTACATTTTTTGGGTGTACTGTTTCTTTAAGTCGTCTCATAATCAGCAGAAGTACCTCCAGGTTTCTGTGTGTTGAGTTGATCTGCAGTCGCTCCTCGTCGTGCAGCTCTGCTTTCCGTGCATCCGTCTGCATCTGGACAGATTCCAGCTCTTTCTCTCGGCGTTGTTCTGCCAGAAGCCGCTCCTCCTGCATCCAGACCGCAAACCAGTTTGGTTTTATTTAGAAATGTTCTCAAATTTAGTCTCAGTATTAATTCTGGTTTCACTTTCACATCACTGTGACTTAAGTTAGTGTGAAACACTGGGCTGTGTGTAAGAATACTGCTTATGATGCTCCTCGTTTCTAAGTGACTTTGGATGGAAGTGTCTGTTTAATGAACACAAGTAAAGGTAAATGTTGTTTATTGAACTGCTGCATAACTCAATCAGTCATGTGATCAATCACAGCTGAAGATATTCTGAGCAGCAGCACAGATGGAAAACAGTAAAGCTCAATGAAATATATTTATATATTTAGTTTCAACTTTCATTTACCAAAATATATTTCTAAACGTATTTCAGGGGCAAGAAAACACATACATTTAAGCTAAATACAAATGTGGATGACCTACTAGAGGTCAAAACTAGATTTATAATGATTTAATAATGTTTCATATTTTTATATATTGCATTTTTTGGAGCATTTTAAATTGTTCTATGCCGAGGTTCTTTCAAATGTGTAATATGTTCACACGTGTTATAGACAACAAATCTAGTTTTTCTTCAAATGTGTCATATGTGAATGCATTTTCTTGGACTGAAATATATGGAGGTCAAAAAATATTTTTAAATGCAATTTTTAAACGTAAAATATTTTTTCAAAAATACACAAAAATAGCCAAATATATATATATATATTAGTAGAAAATATATTTACGTAAATATATTCTGAAACATATTTTAGCAAAAATATTTTTGCCCATTTTTTGTATGTTTTGAATCAATATATTTAAAAATATATATATATTTTTCTGTATGGTGACCAAAATATATTTTTAAATGCAATTTTTAAATTAAATATTTTATCAAAAATATAAAAAAAATGGCCAAAAAAAAAAAATACTGGTGGAAAATATATTTACATAAATATTTTCTGAAAAAATATATTTTAGCAAATATATTTTTTCTTGGCCATTTTTTGTATATTTTTAAAAATATATTTTAAATGTATAAATATATTTTCAATAATATACAAAAATGGCCAAATATATATATATTAGTAGAAAATATATTTACATAAATATATTTTGAAGCATATTTTAACAAATGAATGTTTTGAAATCATATATTTTTGCTGTATGATGACAAAAATATATTTTTAATGCAATTTTTTAATTTAAAATATATATATTTTAAAAATGGCCAAAAAATATACTGGTAGAAAATATATTTACATAAATATGTTCTGGAAAATATTTTATCAAATTTTTTTTTTGGGCCATTTTTTGTATATTTAAAAAATATATATTTATACTTTTAAAATATATTTTAAAAAATATATAAAAAAATTGCCAAAAATATAAAAGTGGGAAAAAAAAGTGACATATATTTGGACGTATATATATATACAGCCAAATATAGAACATATATTTGGCTGCAATATATTTTTGCTGTATGATGACCAAGGCTCAGGTCTTCATGTGTCGGTCAGTAACTCACTCTCTCCTTCAGCAGACGTTCCCGCTCCGCTTTGGCCTCTCGGAGTTTCCGCTCCATCTCCACTAAACCCAGGAGGCTCTGCGGGCTTAGAGACCAGAGGTCACATGATCAGAACACGATCATCACTTAAAGAAACACTTCACAATAAGCTTCCATTAGTTAACCTCAACTAACAATGAAACGCACTTCTAAAGCATTTATTAATCACAGTTCATGTTAATTAATGTGAAGCAGGCCCAGAGGACTCACAGATGCGGTGGCCGCCATAAGGCCAAGCAACCTCTGAAAAACCTTTAGGGGGCATGTCGTCCCCGGTTTGAGAGACACCCCCAATCGCTGAATAGTCAGGGTTCGTTCCGGTGTATTCCATGCC